GTGAAGATACTGCTTATTACTACCTTATAGCATTTAAACCTAACTCACTTCCTAAGAAACAGACCAACTATAGATTAGGGATAAGCCATCGTTACAAGGAGGGTCTCGCTGGTTCGAATCTAGCCGGAGGCAGCCCTGTGGGGTAACCTCACATCAGGTCCTAACTCACGGCCTAGGTAAAAAATCTAAGTTCGTAACTAGATGTTACGAACGAAGAAAGGACGCAAGGCAGCCGGGGAGGCGGCCCAAGGACGCGACTAGGCAGGCGCCTGCAAGTTACTAGATTAGGACAGGAGGTTACGTAACTAGATTACTATAGAGTATAATAAGCTAGTTATAATCTATAAAAGAAGGATTACTAAGATTATTAATAATCTAAAGTAATCTTAGTTTATAATAAAAAGATAAATAAATACTTAAAAAGAAGTATTTTTATAACTAGGTAGTTTAGATTTTTATTAATTAATTTAAATAATATTAAGTAATTAGTTTTAAGAGTTTTACTTTTAATAATTTTTTATATAAAGATATTATTTATTATTATCTTATAATATTTAAACTTAATTTACTTTTTAAAAAATAAACTAATTATAAATTAAAAATAAATTATTATTATATTTTATTTAGTCTTATTTAATAAGTTATTATAATAAACTATTATAGTAATACTACTTTATACTATATATATTACTATTACGCTTTTATTAATTACTAGAACTACTTTTAATAACCTAATCTTTTACCTTATAGTCTAATAATATAAGTATATATTATATTTTAAAAGTATATAGCTAATAGCCTAAGTTTAACTCCTACTACTAATAGGAGACTTATCTTATATAGAAGCTATATAGGTACTAGTATAGGGGGCCTATATACTAATAGTCTTCTTAGGGGTTAAATTAGTAACTAAAGTCCTTAAAATAAGGTTAGTAGCCTTAGGGAGCCTCTTAGGTAGCTATAAATAGCTAGCTAGAGGGGAGGAGTATAGTATAATAAACTATTATAGTAGTACTACTCTATA